GAATTTAGGAGCAGAGTTGAAGAAGCGATTCTTGGGAACTATTCTTGGGGAAACATAATAACCATGTTGGCCGAAAAGAAGGCACAAAGGCAATTGAACATCTGAAAGAGATTACACTTTGGGATGTACCCTTGATGCCAAGCAAACGCCATGAAGGAACTGATATGTGGTTTGAAAGATATAGCTGATACAAGGAAGGTCGCCCTCTGTTTTACAATATATGTGGTGCTTTGAAAGACAAGCAAATGCAATGTAAAATACTTGGTTCGGAAGAGAATTCCGAAAAGTTTTTAAGATAGTTCAAGACATGGAGAAGGGTATCAAGGAACTCAACTTTGAACCCGGTGGAGCAGACTCTGTAGTTCGGATTATGGATTTAAAGAACTCACCAGGGCATCCCACAAAGGAACTACGTACCGTTTTCCGAAAATCTTGGATGTTGCTTCAAGACCATTATCCTGAGCTCATCCATCGAAATGTAAGAGCAAAACATAGCCAGTTAGGAATGATATATGTTCTTTGATTAACTGACCATTGCTTAGTTCTAAATAATTTCAAATGAAAATTAAATCGCATATTGTTCATACCATAGATAATGAAATAATTGCTGATAATCATAAATGTTCGCTTGCAGTACTATGTATACCATGCGCTTTCTTCACGGCTGAAAACTCAAAGAACGAATAGCAAGATTGTTTTTGCCAGATCAGGGAACGTCACTGAGGCTCTTCTCAATTTAGAAACGTTATTCACTTACTAGTTCTAGTTTTTCAATATCCGATTTCCCATTGTCATCACATTTGCTTCTATCTTTTAATCCAACTTTGTTCGGAAACAAGATTAATATCTCCAGAAAACCTTGCAGTTGAATATGGAGGTCTCAGAAGAAAGAATGACAACGAGTTTTTTTCAGAGGACATTAGGATCAGAGCAAATACATCGGGGCGCATCCAAATTCCAGCCCGAGTTACACGTACAAAAGCTAATCTTGTGAAAATGTGGGTCTCCTTGGATTAATCTTGCTTAATTTTATATGTAATTAACACGCTGGAATGACAATAGTTTGGGATTAAACGGTGCTGGGATGTATCGTATAAGGAGGAGTTCGTCCCAGACGATGAAGGCTCGTAAGGAAAAGAAAGGGGAAGAGAGTGTTAGAAATTCTTTTTATATTAATGAACCAGGGAAGATTGTTTTATCTATTGATAATTTCATGCTCAAGAAGAAGAAGAAGGCTCTCTGTAGATACAAAACCAAATCCACTGTTCCCATTTATGTCTTGTTTAAGAAATAGGAGTAATCTTTTCGTCATTTCCTTTCATTTCGCCTACTGTCGTTGACAGACCCAGATTAAAAATTATGTGTAAAAATGATACCCCTTGTATATTGTTGCATGGTACTTTCAATTTTGGTGGTATATAATAATATTCTTGGGTACTACTTAATAGCTATATCTGATCTCTCATCACTCATATTCTTTCATATTAAGACATGTTAACATACAGCTTTCAAGGACTTGATCTCTAAGTCACTAGCATATGCTTCCATTTGAAACATGTAGCTGAAAATAGTTGTTTTTCAGCTTGCTATTCTATTGCAGAAATGTTTTCCAATGTCTTTAATAAGAGTGAATATGATCATTAATTTTTTAAAAACACATTAAACTTTGGAGAATTTGTTTGTTCCGCTGTTAACTGAGCTTTTAGATTTCCCGATCAATGGCATACCCCACAAATAACAAGAAATGTCGGGAAGGAGGTCTTTTTGCTGCTGCTAGATTTATCTTATGGTATTGATCTTTTATAAGTTTTCCTTCAACTTCGTTCGCGTGGCCTAATGGATAAGGCGCTCGCCTCCGGAGCGGGAGATTGTGGGTTCGAGTCCCACCGTGAACGGTTTAAAATTTTAAAGATTTTTGCAATTTTGCAATCATCATTACTATGGCTAAAGCTTTAAACAAATCAAGACGCCTAACATGCTACAGCCCAGTTAATATGGCTGAAGCTTTAAACAGATCAAGACGCCTAACATGCTACGGCCCAGTTGTCGCAACAACTATAAATCAATCTTACGCCTAACGTGTCCTGGCTCCTTCCATATATTCGCGTGGGCTTCACGTGAACTTTCGTAGCCTGTAGCCCTTTGCCCTTTGGTTGTTTAGACTTGAGATTCACCTGGCTGGCTTAAGTGGCCTCAAACTCATCTAGAAAATTAAAATCACTCTCCTCCAAAATCTCAAATGGAGACATGTTCTTCTTTTGGATTCTTCTCTTTCGAGTATGGTAATTTGTACTATCCTCGGAACCTTTGAGCCACCTGCCATATCTGATTTTATGATGTGTAAGCTGTTAGGATTAAGTCACCATACAAACAGAAGAATGGCGAAAGAATCCTGACCTCCGTTTCACTCTTTCCCTTCCATTTCTCTTCTATAAATACCAGCTTCCTCTACTCGCCTCTTCACATCAACCAAATAATTAAGCAGCCTTTTCCACACTACATCATGGCCAACAAGCCTTCTCTGCTCTCTCTTTCTCTTAGTTTTCTTTTGCTCTTCCATGGCCGCCAGGCCCGGTCTTCGCAGTCTCAACAGTTCCAAAATGAGTGTCAAATTAATAGGTTTGACACCATTGAACCCGTTACACGAATTAAGTCCAAAGCCGGTGTGACTGAGTGGTGGAACCCCAATAGTAAACAGCTCAAGTGCGCTGAAGTGGCAGTGATGAGGCACATTGTTGAACCTGATGGCCTTCTTTTGCCTTATTTCACCAATGCTCCCCAGCTTGTATACGTTGTCCAAGGTATATAAAACATTTAGTATCGATTATAATCCATTTTTAAGCTCACTTTTTCAAATGCATGAATTAAGTTAAAGTTTGACCTTACGGTTTTGTACGCGATGCTTTAAATTTGTTCAGGTAGAGGTATTTAAGGCACTGTAATGCCTGGATGTCCCGAAACATTCCGGGATTCACAACAATATCAACATGGACAAAGCCATAGGTTCCAAGATAAGCACCAGAAAGTCCGCCGCTTCTGTGAGGGCGATGTCCTTGCATTGCCTTCTGGAGTAATTCACTGGTGCTACAACGATGGCGATGAGCCTGTTATCACTGTCAACCTCCTTGACATTAGCAACAGCGCTAATCAGCTTGACAATAACCCTAGAGTAACCATCTTTACTCAATCTTGCAGTAAAATCATCAATCTCCAGGTCATTTTTCTTAACTTTTTCTTCAATTGTTGTGTTTCTGATCATCCTTCTCTATGTTATAGAAATTTCATCTTGCTGGTAACCCAGAAGAGGAAAAGAAGAAATTAAGGAGGCTACAAAATCAGCAGCAAGGAAGCAGTAGCGAGAGAGAATCTGAGGAGGAGGAAGAACTAAGAAGATGAAGATGAAGACAACAGCAAATCTCACCACCACCAATAGTAGCAGAGCTCATACGGTAACATTTTCGGCAGCTTCAACCCTGAGTTACTTGCTCAAGCTCTCAACGTCGACATGAAAATCATTAAGAAGCTCCAAGACGACCAAGGAAAGACAGGGACCATGATTAATGTCAAGGAAAGACTCCAAGTTGTAAAACCACCCCGGATGTAGCATGAAGAGCGCGAAGAGAGACAGCATGAGAGACGACAACAGCAGCACGGTGGAAGAGGAAGTCAAAGCGATAATGGACTAGAGGAAACTTTCTGCACCATGAGACTCAGGGAGAACATTGCCGACCCTGAACGTGCCGATATTTTCAATCCTCAGGCTGGTCGTATAAGTACTCTTAATAGCTATAACCTCCCAATCCTCAGGCACCTAGGCCTCAGCACTGAGAGAGGGGTTCTCTACAACGTATGTATTTGAAAATTTGTGATTTTATATAGATGAAAAAAATTCACAAGTTCACATTTGATCAAAACAGTGAATTAATTACTCTGTAATTTATTATAATTTCTTGTTTTTGGTGAAAATTTTGTGTGCAGAAAGCTGGTTTGATACCACAATGGTCCATGAACGCCCACAGAATATTCTACATGCTGAAAGGACGCGCCAGGGTCCAGGTGGTGAACGAAAACGGTGATGCAGTGTTCGACGACTACCTTGAGAAAGGACAGCTTCTGACGGTGCCACAGAACTTTGCCTTGATGAAACGGGCTGGAAGTGAAGGGGCCGAATGGGTTTGCTTCTACACCAATGACAATGCCATGAACACACCTATTGCTGGTCGAGTGTCTGTCTTGCGGGCACTGCCTAAGGAGGTGGTTGCAATATCGTATCAGATTTCAAAAGAAGAGGCCAAGAGGTTGAAATTTAGCAACACAGACACCTTCTTCTTCACCTCTTCTAGCTCCAAAAGGAGCGCTGAGGCTTAAATCCAAATGACAATCGAAGCCATGTACTGTAATAAAAGAGTTTATGTATTTTCCCTGTGTTTTTTGGTTGTTAATTAGTTAGTAATTAGGTGAGCTTAGCTTATATTAGAGGATGAATAAAAGATACATAGTCTTCTTATACGACAGACTATATTATGTAAGTGGCTGGAAAGTTACCGCTTCTGTTTGTAACTTGTAATATCTACTACTTTTTACGCTAGTAATTAATGTCTACTTTTTGTTACTCTTTAACTTTGTCATCTCTTTTAATTTTTGTTTTATTTTTTTTTTTACATCAGTAATTTCGTCTCTTCGACTGTAAGTTTTCCTTCAATCTTCTATTTGATTTTATTTTTATTTGTAAAATCTGAGATAAGTATATTATTTTCTTAGGTTTATCGTGAATTTCATTAATTTTTAAAGCGGTACAAAGTTAGAATAAATACATTATTTTCTTGGCTTTATCTTTGATTTTATTTTAAAGATAATTCAAATGATAATTATTTTGTAGAATTGATATTGGTTATGTGAAAAAATAAAAATAAATTAATTAGTATACTTTTAATTTTATCTCTAACTTCAAAGGATGATGTACATCTCTTCTACAATTGTACTATAACTATCTATTAATCAAACACAAATCTCTTAGAAAATTCATTTATAAGGACCCTTGGCCGTTGCCACCGCAAATCTCAAAGTTTCCTCTTCTTCACCTTTTAGATATTTAAATTACAAAACAGGTTTCAAGTTCAAATTAAAGTCTCAACTTAAGTGTGAGTGGCAGGCTTAGCAGAACGTTTCGTTCGGACAGCGAATCTCAGATCCCCAACACAGCAGTTTCTCTTTCAAAATGGAAGTTTAGTGCTTCAAACAGCTTAAGAAGATGGCTACTTCTATTTTACTGAGTCAACTCATTCTCCTTCTCTTCCTCCCTTGCTTTGCAGCCCCGTCATCTGCGATTACTACCAAACGACAGCCTGGGTTTCTCTACTCTAGAACCAGTTCGGGGAGATGCACTCCTCAGTAAGCTCTTTCTCTCTAAAAACCCATCAAATAATGCTTTTCTGTTTTAGTTTTTTCTCAAATACCCGGAAATCACTTCCTTGTAAACGAACCAAAACAGTTCTAAAAATCTTTTTTTTTTTTTTTCAAATTGAGACTGGGTGAGTTATGGCACCGACTTGACTCAGGGATGCGTAATGGTGAGTTTTGTATCCGCAGGTTCTGGAGCAGCGGGAGAGAGGCGTGGCCAAGGATGATCCCACAGACATCGACAGTATTGAACGTGTTCGGGTCGAGAGCGTTTGAACGGTACAGACCTGATATGACATTGTTGGAATCAACGGCTATGAATAAAGATTCGAACGTGTTCGATGAATTGCTGGAGCAGGCGAGCGCTGCCTTGCTCAACTCGTATGCCCGGAAAGGGTTTCCTTACTCGGCTTGGGAAGTGAAGACACTGATGATTCAAGGGTTGGTGTCGGAGGATGCTGCAGCCCGCCTAACCAAACAATTTTCTGTTGCTAATGATGCTTGTTATTAGTACTAGTATCCAGTAGTGTTTATCAACACCATTCACATAGTCAGATTCATAAAAGTTATATTTGGGAATGGCTATTAAAATTATAATAAAAATAATAAGAAAAGTAATGGAGAGGACTTTTTTTAAATAAAAAATAACAAAAAAAAAGGCTAATTTCTTGGCTAGAAATCAATTCACAATCTATGGGGAATGGGTTAATTTGATATTTAATTCTTGAGGAATGCTACGGACAATGTTCTTAGCAGATGCTTTTCAACACTCGAAATCTTATAAAGCTACTTCATTCCGATTTTTGAATTTAAAATTTGTCACCGTCTGTATCGGTAAATATTTTTGTCCCAATTTTCAGATACTTTATAATCTCTATTGTTGTGTGAATTTTTCTTTCATGAAAAGAGTGTAGTATTAGTGGAGCTTTTTTTCTTTTTTTTTTTCTTTTATCAAAGTGATTTTTTATTAGTTTTTCTTCTAACAATTTTTATTAATGACTGAAATGTACAAGTTAAAAAAAACTCTAATGAAAAAATTAATACAAAAACCAACAAAATAAAAATTATGATATAACAAAAGGATAAAGCGAGCTTGTGAACCCCGTCTAAAAGGGAACTTTATGCCCCCTGTTAGCAACAGAATTGCCCATGAGCTTGATGCAAATGACTCAATAATAAAAAATACCGACAAAACTGTCGAACACCAACAGGAGACAAAGGTTGGAAAAGATTTCAAGAATAAGCTTCTCATGGGCATTTTAACAAACATTTTGTAGTCCCAACTAGTCACCATCCGCAAAAGTGAGAACCAACACATAAAACAAACTAGATTAAAGTAAAATAGCAAAATAATCAACAAAAGCAAAATATATAAGAAACCGAGAAGAATAGAAGCCATTCTCTTTCTAAACTTGGCGTCCTCCTAATTTCAAAATTCTCTTTACTAACTCATGGGTAAAATTCACTTCTTGTTCTTTTCAGTTTCAAGGTGCACCTGTTTTACCTTTTTAAATTGATAAATAACAATTTTTTTAATTGAACTTTTCAATATAAATTTCATCAATTAAAGGGTAAAAGAAAATTATATAAGTCCAGATAAAATATATAATTCAAAATAACAAATTAATTGGGGTTTTTTTTTTCGAATGAATTTAATCAAGTATAATGAAAAGTTAAAAATAGAAAAAAAATTATTATTGATAAAAAAGACTCAGCTTTGAACTTCTCTGCTTAGTTAAACACTTACATGCCTTTTTATAAGATGATGTGGCTTTACAAGGGCTCGTGTATCCAAAAGCGATTGTGAGAAAGAGTGTCGCTAGCATTGTTCTTTAATTCTTTTGATTTCATTCAAAATAAAAAGAGGTAGTAAAGTTTAAAATATCATTTTTTTATTTAAAATATATGAATTTAAATTTTTGATAAATCAATTTTGCAATGTTTTTTTACTTATTTTTTTAGAATACGCAATATTTGTTTTACATTTTCTATGCGTGTTCTATTTTTATAAAATTTTTTTGACTGTTATCAAAAGGATCTATTTTGATAAGAATTTTTTGACTGTTTTCGAAAAGATCTAATAATGTATGTAAATTAGATTTTTTAGACAATTACGTATTTTGAGAGGCAATTTTGATTGGTTAATAAAAATATAATTCAATGCTATTTTTTTTTAATTTAATTAATCTATTGATTTTTTAAAAAATGTAAATCATTTTAATTTCAATATATATATATATATATATAAGCATCATCTCTTTCAAAATGTTTATATTTTGTAATTATAATATCTTTAATTCATGTGCAAATTATAGGTTAAATAATGATAAGATATAATGTGCGAATTTCGTGTGATGGTTGATTAATCCGATTAGTTCATCAATGGTCAGTAAGTGTTTTAATGATGATCTCGCACATATTTCATATCTAATTTAGTGGTGGTTTTAAAAAATCTCATGAATTGACTTGGGTTACAAACTTAATTATGACTGTATTGACTGTATCTTTTAGTATAACAAGTTATTCTTTATCTTGGGATCAAATTGGTTATTAAGCAATCAAAATTGTAAGAGGTATTCTAAAAGCTATTTCAATAATAGGATCGCATTTTGTAACAAAATTAACTTTATATTTTTAATTTGAGAGGAGTTAGAGTAAATTTAATAGAATATTTGTTAGAAATTATTTTATAATTGGATTTTTAAATTTGAGAGCAATTAAAGTAAAATTTGTAGAATATTTGGTTAGACATTATTTTATAATTCAAAATAATTTTGAAAATGACATAACAAAGAAAAAAGTCAAGAAGTTAAATTAAAATCTTTTTTATCATAGAGGTGAATTTTCTCGTACTTTAGTGAAAATATGGAATTAATCCTTTATGTTAATTTTAATATGATAAGTATTTTATTTTTCACATTTTTGAATTTTCATCTAGTTATAAATGGTGTTTAAATTCGTTTATTAGAACAGAAGAGGTTGATTATCTAACTTTTTTTAATGTGCATTAAAAATTTTCATGTAAACAATTACATAAGAATGTTTCTATGGTTTATTTTAATTTTTTTCTAAATTTTAATGTTATATTAAATAAATTTTATTACAAAATTAAAATATTTTATTTAAATAAAACACTTAAATTAACTCATAATTAAGCTTCATATTTCATTAATATTTTTATCTTTTTAAGAAAATAAAAATTATTACCATGGCAATTACATCTCAATAATGGTAACAATTTCAGTGATTTGACCTTTTTGCTAAAATATAGTGATATATAATCCAAAATTTTTTTATTTTTTAATCTAATATTTTATATTTTTAATTAAATAAGATGTCATATCATGTTTTTTAGTTAATCTTAACATTTTCATTTTCTTTTAATTTTTTTATTTATAAAATAATTTTTAATAAATTTTTAATTATTACATTTTAATTAAATTTATTCAAATAAAAAATGTAATAATGAAATAGTACTAAATGAAATATTAGTGGTAATTTTAAAATACTTAATAAATTGATAAATTTGTAAATTATTTATATATGATTTTTTTTTCAAAATTTAAAATAAATAGTTAAAACTCAAAGATTTTTCGTTTAATTTCACCAAACATGAAAAATAAAAAACCTTAATATACTAACAAAAACCCTAACGTACTCAATTGGACTACTCAACTGGTGACGGCCTATTATATCAATATGTTTTCCAAGTAAATTCAAAATAAAGTTTTAGTTAATTCCATTAACCAAACAACTCATAAATTTTCAATTATTAGTTTTTCATGACAAAAAGTTAATTAAAAGTCTCATATTTACTTTAAACTTGATAATTTAAAATATGATAATAATAGAACACAAACACAATAAAAAAAAGTGATATAATTTGAAATTTCAGTAATAATTATATATGACAAATAAGATCTTTTCTTAATGTTAAGGTGAAGGCCCTAAAACCTTAAGGTTTTAGGTTAAAAAAGAAGAAGATAATAACTACAAATATGATTTAGAAAAGAGAGATACTGAAAATACTATAACTATATATATGGATTATAAAAGAGAGATACTGAAAATATTGTAACTTGTATTGCTTAAAGTGTTTTTATACATAAGTTGGAGAGACCCTCTATATATAGTTGAAGTTCTCATGACTCAAGGACGAAGATTGACTTAATACAATAATTATTACAGAGTCCAAGATTATAACAAGATCCCCACGAATTAATGGTCAGGATTGACTCAATACAATGAGCATGAATCAATGGTTAGGATTGACTTAATACAATAGTTATTGCAGAATTCAAGATAATAATACAATCCCATGAATCAATGATCAGGATTTACTAAATATAACGTCCATTAATTAATGACTAGGATTGATTTAATATAATAATTATTATAGAGTCCAAAATTATATTAAAGAGCTCAAATTTTGTAAGAACAATCTTAACTTGATCAATCTTCAAATCTTTCTAAAAGTTTCACCACTTTGAGTTTGTTGGAGCTTAATCTGTTTGTACTTGGGCCTAACTTTGCCTTTTTCTTCTTTTGTCTTTGAAAGAAGAAAAAAATTCTTTTTTTTTTACCACACTGTACCATATATATATATATGAAGAAAAAAGATTTAAAAAAAAAACCTTAGAAAATTTTAGTGAAAAAATTGGTTGATGGCTAGTAGGAAGCTGGTTCAAGATATTTTCATTACAAGACAACCCTTTTTCTTCACTTTACGTTTCAACAAGTAAAACGTTAATAGCTTGGTTCGGGAAGATTATAAAATTTTGCCTTTTTTTCTAATTAATTTTTTTAAGCAGGTGAGTGTTTGGTGTTTTAGGATTCAAATCTGGGACTAAAATTGCTATATGAAAAGTGGAAATGGGTACTAGAATAATTGACGGTTTAGTATCTTTAATGAGTTCTACAAGAAAATTAAAGGCGAAGCTAATAGGTATTTTGAAGCTAATGATACTTTTCACTTATGATAGGGTAAAAATTAAAAAAATAAGTCTTTTAATTATACTTAAAACTCAAGGACCTAAATGTATTTTACTCTAAAATTTATAATGAATCAAATTATTAAATAGAGGTTTTTTTGTAATGAACCCGAAATAGCCCAAGTCATCAAGTCAACAACCATGTTAGTATTTTTAACGATAAAAAATTGAAGGAGATCATCAAGTTAACGACCATGTTAGTATTTTTAATGGTTAAAAATTGAAGGAGTTAGTGGTTAGACTAAAATTATCAAATCAAAATAAATTAATTTTTTCAAACTTTTTTTAGGTTTAATAAATCTAAATGAGTAAAAAATCATTCATGTAATTTTGAAAATAAAGAATGAAAACTTAGTCAACTAGGTAATTAAATGTAACGGATGGTGTGGTAACAAGCATTGTAATTCCAACCTGTTTTCCAAGAATTAACGGTCTTTTATGTAATTTCATGAACATAAATAATGAAAACCCTAGTCTACTAGGTAACACAAATGTAACGGATGTTGTTAACGATCGCCATACTTCCAACGTGTTTTCCAAGTAATTCCTAAAGAAAGTTTTAGTTAATCCTATTGACAACCTATTGATTTTCTATTTATTTCTCATAACAAAAAATTAATTAGAAGTTTCCTTTTTTAGTTTTATTTTCTCCTTATTTCCTTTTCTTTGAAGAAGAAAAAAATCCAATTTTTTACCATACTTTACTATATATGTGTGAAAAAATTAGCTTTTTTTTAACAAAATAAAAACCCTAGAAAGTTCTATAAAAAATTTGTTCTTTTTAAAGTGTTTCTATACATAGGTTGTAGAAACCATTTATTTATAGTTAAAGTTCTCATGAATTAAATATTAGTATTGACTTAATACAATAGTTATTATAGAGTCCAAGATTACAACAATAGAGACCATTTATTTATAATTAAAATTTTCATGAATCAAAGGTTAGGATTGACTTAATAC